TTTATTTATCACCCTGCGAGAAAAAGAAAAACTAAACAAATGCTTAGACTAGATTTATTTGCTAAAAGCGCAAACAAAACAATGGAGAACACAAGAATCTATTGTATAAAGTATTTCGAATAAACAATTTAGGAAAACACAGTCAAGGTGAAGCGAAGTAAGTCTTAAGATGTTTATTTTATTCGTCGCCTTCCGATGGAACCGCGAACATCTGGAAATTGGAACTACACCTCCACCACGAACTTCTGGAAATATTTTATTGTACAGCGTTCAGCACAGAAAGAATGGGTGCATTTCAATTTTCATTGTTTACGTGGAGCGAGAATTCTATAGTGACTGGAAATGTAATTTATAATGGACTTTTGTAAATGATGAATGAATTCAAAATTATGTTTTAATGTTGACGCGGAAACGTTGGCTGGCGGTAGAAGTGAAATGGATTTAGAGCGAAGTCACAGTCGACAATTATATTTATGAATTTTAGAAAGAGAATAATTATATGCTGTACTCAATTAATTAAAACGCAGGAGAAATATTTAAATAACCTATTTTACAAAGTTATTGTTATTAAAGTAACGATTAAATCAATAATATAATAATAACGTACAAAGCTGATCTCTACTGGATTTTTTTTGCACATTTAATTAAAAAATGGTAAATGAAGAACGATCTTCCATACCAAAAATAAATATCTGATTTTTTTTAATTTATACAAACTTCCTACTCGTTAATTCTCATTAAACAATTTTTGCTATCAAATTGTATCGAAGATCACCGCATTTAAATTGGCTATCAAAGAGTAAAACACATTGTATCGGTCAACTCATTTTAGAGATATACAAACACACTCACACACAGACAACACATCAACGACACACGTATACCATCCCCTTTTTGCATCTTTTAAACACCCTTTTAAAGAGTCAAAAAGGGTCTTTAAAACCGCCTTCCTGTGTTTTTTAAAACAAACAAACGGGTCTGTGTGACTCTAGTGATGAATAGCGCCTAAGCGTAAATAAATTCTTCAATTGTCTGCTATTAATAGTTTATAAAAGCCCGTTGTTCACCAACCAAATACATTAAATAGTTTAAAATTGTTCCTGAAAGTTTCTCTTCACTTTCACTTTACGGCGACCGCCTTTGTGAGGACCAAGTATAATGGATATCGAAAATCAAAGAAATGATTCACAATTATTTAAATGAAGCTAAATTTAGATCAATGATATTAAATGAAGCTTTAGTTATAAAGGCACTGCTTTATTGTTGGATAATAAGTCTAAAATTGTAAATGTGGAATAATAATAAGACATAATAGAGACAGTATTTTATAAAATTGTTTGTGGAATTTATTCAAGTCGCTCTAAAAGATTCGTCCAGTTAGCACACAATAGACACTGACGGAACGCCAATCTATCAAATTTGATGAAAAATAACGAGATTCCACTAACACGTCAACTGTTAAGTGTTCGAACGAGGTACATCACGTGTCGACGTCGTATCTGAAGAGATTTATGAACGTAAATATTCAACCAACTGTATTTAGGTAAAGTCATACTATGGACATAGTATTCTTCGTTCAGTCATATATTTTATATATACTGTAATAAGCGAAGTATATTTATTAATTAAACGTTACCTGTCGGTTGAAATTGACAACACAAACACGTTGTAAGTGTACAGACAGTGGAGCGTTGTGTCAGCTTGTGACGAGTGGCGGCTGGCACGGCCTCTGACCACCTGTTTATTCTAGATACAGATGTTCCAACATTCACGACAGCTATTATAACTTATTTTACAGCTGTTTCCTTTATAAATTGCTTAATTGTTATTGCTATTAAATTGTTTCTTTCCATAAACGCTAAACTTAAAAGAAAAATGTTGTCTGAAAACAAAAATTAATGGATTAATTTTCGGGGTGAAATGTAATTAAAAAATTGTTGGATCGGATTCCGTAATTTTTTTCTCTACGTAAGTAAAAGTATTATAAAACTTCGGGAAAGTTAAAACAACAAACAGCGCTGTAATCTCCCCGGCACTGTCACATCTTACCCTGTAATTAGGGTAATTGAACACGCTAATTATGATTCCAGTGGCTTGGATTGACATAGAGCTAAAATGTTTTGGTTCATTACCCCGATTGAGGACGTAAACAAAACTGAGTACGTTTCATTCTTTGAATTGTCCTTTACATATACATACAGTCATGCAACATTTCATTGTTAATAGAGTATTATCTCAGAAAGTAATTGTTTATTTTGTTAATAGTATTGATTCGTTTCTAAAAATAATCTCGATTTATAATGATAAAAGTCACAGTGTAAGCCTTAGTAAAATCATCGTTGGCAGTAATTTAGAAATTGCTTGGGATCGATAGAAACATCCCCCATTATAATATAGGTCTATCTATATAGTAACGACTGGTCTAAATCCTTCAGAAACAATCCAAAATACACTCTATCTATATAAAAATAAGATTGTAAAACGCTCACAGTCCCATGATAATATTGTCCCGCTAAAACCCGGTAACCACATTACGTTAATGATGCAGGACTCATAAATTCTATTCCTATGATTGCTGACTCATTTCTATTAGTGTCTTCGTATTATTTCATACATTTTATTTAATTAGAAATGATATACTTACAATTTATTATAAGTGTCAGGTTAATCCATTAATATAAGTAATGAAAACAATTTTTTATACATATATATATTTTTAATCACTTAGGTATTATACATATAAAGTTGTAGTTAGAACAAAATATTTGATTATTTTTTAACAAATTTCGTGACAGTTTAAATGCCTACAAATTTAGTTTAGTCAAAAATAAACCTATTGATTAGTCAGGGTTTTTTTCTGTTTTAAAATATATAGCACATATTTAAAACGTTAGCTTCATGATATATGTCTATAATCCTAATCTATAATATACCTTCAAGATATAAGAAGTAGAGAACTTATTAGGACTGAGTAGAAGCAGTGTTATTAAACTACTATCAAAATGTACCAGTTATAGTACTTAAATACTAATATTTCGCCTATGATGGTTAAGAACTACTCGTATCAAGAATATATGTATACAAATACATACACATTTGTGTTGTTCATACTATCTACCACTTATAACAGACTCAAACCAACTCGATTATGGATAAATTAATTATTTAAACTATAAATTTAGGAATATATAAATATAACAAAATATTATAGTAATGAGAATATATTTAATAATATTTATTTTTTTCCAAACATTAATATAAATCAGTTTCGTGCTTCAGTGATTTCGAATTCCCAGAAGTTAACGAAAAACAACAACAACTTTGACAATTTCGTCAAACTATACATCAAGTGGCTGAACTGTTCCGGAACCGTTATCTTTATGATATAAACATTGATTTGTACATCTCATTTGATTTGCTAACAGATATATTTTGAAGATGGGATTTTCATTTGAAATATAGGTATTCTTAGAGATTTATTTTAACTATGATTATTATGTCGAATACATATTTACTCCGTGGCTTCTGGTTCTATAGCTATATCCTGCAATGAATGCAATTTTTCTTTAAACACTAGTCCATTAAGTAAATGGTATGTATGTGACATATAATTTTAATTCCTGCTGCTTATCCTACACCTTTCTTTATTTCCATTGTATGCCTCTAGTCTAGCGATGTGATGTTGAATCTAATCATATGTAGATTGCCAATTTCTTTAGATAGTAGTTAAATATAGTCAGTTAAAACACCACAAGAGGTCTTAAAAGTTCTCGTCAATTATAGCAACTTAAAATCAGGACCAAAAAATATTATGATTCCTTTTGTTTTAAATTTATTTTAACTGAAAGTGATCAAACTGTCGAAACCATGTCGACAAATACAACATTTGAAAAACTACTTTTTTACATTTTCAACTACATATCCAATAATGAGATTGACTGTTATCGCGACTATTCAAATGAAACTAATATTTTTCTCGGATTACTACGCGTCACTTTAATATTTTAAAAACTACATCCTCCCGGAGTTTCGGTTATTTTGCAGCAACCGTGATCACGGATAGACATTCACATCTTGTCTGTCACAATATTTAATAATGTTTCTTTGTACAAATAAAAATCGTAGTGAGTATAAATTATGCAAAGGTATCATGAGACTGATTGAATACAGAATAACGTTATTGAAACATACAAAATGACCTCAGGGGTGTGTGTTCCCTGTCTGAGGCTGCGATAATCCTTGTCAACAGACCCTCATCACTTTGATAATGACGTCAAAGCAGCCTTACCTCAGACTCGCATACACACTCAAATAACTCTTCTATACGAGTATACCTTAAAATTCCACGTGGCTTGAACATTTGTTTCTGGCTAACGTCTGTTCCAGTAGCTTCCAATAAATTTTAAACCTCCTATTAAGGTCTATATATCTAACCAATTAAAATAACTGCAATAGATTCTTACAATGTACTCTATATCATCTAAGATCATAACTACAGGAGCTGGTCCACTAATAACAGTGGTTCCACAAGCGTCCATAACAATTACTCAAACTTTCGAGACCACTGATATGCATAGTCTCATCGGCTCAGATTACCCTATTGTTTTTGATCCCTTTGTGAAAATGGAAAAAAAGGGCGATTCATTACTGACTTTGTTTTCAGACCCCTTGGGATATCGGGAATTGTGATTTTGTATGAAATGCTTTAATTACAAAATTTTTGGTCTTCCCCATTTTTCTCTGATTAAAAATCGATATAATAATGAGGGATCATGTTCTCTTCGCTTTTGTTTTTAATAATTGTTAAATATATTAGCTGTTTTATCTGAAAACAGATCTTTGAAATTAAAAATGTTTTTAGATTTTCTAAGATTCATTAAATATATTGGTGGTCATAATAATCATTTTAAATTAACGGAAACAACAAAAGATAATCGAAAAATACGTGAGTAGTTATTGTGTTATAATAAAATGTAACAGAAATGTGAAAAATTTACCAGAATTCGTTGATCACGTCACCCGATACGTCTTTTGTGGATCCCTATCATCGGTACATCGCCCTCAGCCCTTCCGAGCGACATAATTACGGTTTAAGGAGATATTGGATGAGTTTATACAATTTCAGGGAATCCCTCAAGGATGACGGCGCAGGATGATTTTCTTTTCTTTTAATTTTATATATTTATCTACTTATCTTGATATTCTCCAATATACCAATTTCATGGGACTTTGAAGAAGCGAACGGGTCAACTCAAACAACGGCTTAGTTCTGTTTGTCTTTTATATTTCGTAACCCTAAACTTTACGTTCACGTTTTAACTGTATTTAGATGTATTAGATAATGAATAACGTATTATCCTTTTAAAATAATCAATAGAAATATTTATGAACCATTAGTCTGAAAGCTAACAAACAATTCTAATTCAATGCTATATTGGACGCACTATTCTGCGGTAAACGGAAGGGGCGGAGGGGTCAGTTGATTTGTTACCTGCGGAGGCTCTGTCGAACGGATTTTCATCGAGGATGTATGGCTCGGTCTTTTTTGACAGTACAATTACCTATCACGGCTGTAAGATTACTCTGAGCCTGTCCAACAACGTCAATTTATGGCCGTCCTAATATTTTTGTAAATAAAATTGTTTCAATAATCTCCTCTATTTGTTCGACGTTTATTTTTCCGTTGTAACATTCTGTATCTGTAAGACATAAACGTTAAATTTTATGTTCCACTTGAATCAGATAACATTACCAATTAGAGGACTTTTAATGTGCCATCCAAATTTGTGACCGTCGGACTGGTAATTTGGTGGCGAGGGCTTATATTCACAGAACGAGTCACGTACCTTATTTAATTAATAATTTTAAAGATGGCGTCGCCGGAGCTGAGACGGCCGGCGGCAGATCGTAATTTGATTTGTGAATGTAACATGTCGCTGATTTAAAACGTGGAGCTAACGGTTATTCGATTGCGGGCGATGAAGCTGGCACGTTTGAGGGCAAATTTCCTTTTTTATATGTAAATCCGTAATTTTGCTGACAATTTCTACCGCCGATCTTTAAATCTACAAAATTAAACGGTTTAGATTATCCTTGTATTTAAAGTGCTTTCAGTACAAATAAATTCCATTGCCGAATTCTTTCCTTTGAGCTAAAAATGCTTCGTCCACACGATTGATTTGATGCGATTTTTTTTTTGCCATGGATCGGTTCGATAAAATTTATTCCTTTTGAAAGTAAGGTTGAAGAATTGCTCTTATCGATTGAGAATTAAACTACTACCCTTCCTGTAGTTATATTGGTTCGTTTTGTTGGTACGATTGTATCAATATTGGACATTGTAACTCGATTTGCGAATCTATTGCTCGCTGTCAAGTCACGCTTGACATCGGTCGACGAAATGGCAAGGTCAGACAGGAACTTTGATATTTGACGCAATCACTAGTTATATTTTATCACAGCAATTGTATTCATTATTTATAATAATTATTATTCTAGTAACAGAAATGACATTGCTAAGTTCCAAGGATAAGGGTCTCTTAAGGGATAATAATATTATTACTATCTTTTTCAATACAATAATAAAATAAAATATAACACAGTTTTATATTTGTTATATTTTGTATTGTTTTAAATAAGTAGAAATACAAATATTTTTCCAACTTTAAATCTGTTAAATTAATAAACATGCCTGGATTCGTCAGGATGAATTGAATCGAAAAAACAAATTGCGGTAAAATATAAAATTTTAAATCGTATGAAGAACAATAGTGAGAATTTATGAAGTTCTCTTCGAACACAAAAATCGGATAAAACGACTAAATGTAGCAAATGTTTAGTATTATTAAATCTTTGGGATGTAGTCTTATAGAGAATAAAATACTGAAAAATCGTAAGACTATGGAGGTTTAGATTGATATGAAAACGTAAAATAGATTGAAATTATGTAAATAGAAGAATCGTAAAATATTACATACAATATTACACTACCACTTGTTCTAATAACTAGGAAATAACGACATACTCTAGTGTTGATCGAGTCATATTCCCACGCAGTAACACACGTAAGAGTGGTAATTTCGAGCATTACCTTTACTAATTTTGACATAAATATGTTTTCCTTACTAATATTACTTAAGAATAAGTGCTCTCGGTACATTTACAATTCGGCTTGGCATCTATCATTTCGTGATTTTAAATATCAATAGCATTGTAAAAGTTAGAAAATTACTATAAATTATGTAAAACTACTTAAATGAAACTAATGTTATTCGGATTACTACGCGTAATTTATTATTTTAAAACTACATAGTCCCGACGTTTCTGTTTCTTTTCAGCAACCGTAATCACGAGCAGACGAGATGTACACATTTTACATCTCACATATTTTGTTTTTTAAAGTAATAAAATACGCCTAGTAATCCGAATAATATTGGTTTCATTTAGAGGAATAAAACTCGCAAAAGCCTTCTCTTGTAAAAATTTGTTATGTATCTGTTATTCTAACTAAAGATACAAGCCATTCGTTACTCATTTTAATGCCAAGCCGTATGACAATCGGTCTCAATGTTTTATTGTCACAGTTAGAACGACCCAGTGAAATATAATTTGTTTGAATTACTGTATACGCATCGCGTGATATGTGCTTATATACACAGGATAAACATATTAGATATGCAATTATTCCATGATTTATGTATTATAATAATAACTGACTATTTACTTTGGCATATATTAAATTATTTTAATGAAATAAATTGCGGTAATGTCATAAATTAATACTTCTTAATAAAATTCTCCTATCAAATTAATTATTATGTTGTAAGGAGACAAGTTTTTGACAAAAATAACTCATTTATATAAATTTAATAAATTTTATTAAAGAAGTTGCCATCTAGTATGTAGAAGATAAAAAACTGTTTAGATTATATCTTAAAATTATCATAGAAGATTCAACTTCATTTGAAATTAAAAGTACGGAAAGGTATACAGTAGGTTAAATAAGCTCAAACAAATATTTTATATCATCAATGCATTTTGACCTCTGTATAGTAGTTCCCGTTCATTACAATGCAACTGCAAAATATCGATCGTGTAACAAAGTCACATAACAAACATTATTTGAAAGACAGAAGCGATGCGAGCCACGCCGCGCTGTAACAACACAATAAAGCGACGATAAATCTCAAGTTAAATACAAATTGAAGTCCGCAAGTTCACAAATGCCGTGTTTATTCTCTTTGTAATTGAGTGGGGAATGTACTGCATTAGTTTTAATTAACAGCTCAAGGGAATAGGGAACAGGGACAGGCCGAAATCAGCAACAAGGTCTCTTAATGGAATATTGTAGGAGAACGGAACACAAATATATTATGTAGGTAGCATTTAAGGCAACACTTTAATTGGTTTCGGTAGCGTAGGTGGCGTTTTTTTGCAAAACAAGTTCAATATTCCGCTGGTCTTTTCGTGCTTCGTAATTGGAATTAAAACACATACTTTCAGTCTGAATCTTGGTTGTTTTATTGAAGTGTTGTGTCTCATTTGTATATGTATTTATCCTTGATAGTTTGAATGTTTACGAATGTTTCTCAAGTACAGTTATGTTGGTTGAATGAATTCTTCAGTGTAACGTGCCGGACGCAGCACTGACTGTCCTCCATTCCTCATAATTCCATTTACAGAGCGATGCGAGCAATGACGACACACTGGAATATCGGTCAGGATGATACCAGGAACTATTTTTTCAGCCATCGCAATAAAGTATTTGTACTATTTTTAGAACGCAGACAAAAATTATACATGAAAAATATTCACAGACGCCAGATATGAAATGAAATGGCATAGCAATATGTTTACTGTGAAAAATATCGTTCGTTATATATTGAAGAATATTAAAATACTTTTCAAACAAACATATATCTTTATAAATTTCGTATTTTAATTTTGTTACATAGAATATATTAAACGATATAATTATTTATTCAAACCACAATCATTATAATATGATTTGTTGTACTTTAAAAGTCATAATTAACTAGACACATAATAAATTGGATTTGATTTTCTATGTTTATTTAGTTTCGAAGTACGTCACTGTTTGAGAGCTGACTGATTGTTGACTCCCAGTTGTTATATAATCATTATTTTCTATGATAATTTATTGATATGGCGATTATTTGAACATTAAACGATTTTGCGTGTGTTCTAATAATAGTAATTAATGTTAATACGTTTTTTTTTAACTTAGTCTCTTTTGAATACAAATTAATAATATCTCTTTTATCATTTCTTTCTATTAACAATAACTTCTATAATTTTTTTCTTACTGTCTCTTCGTAGTAATAATGTTTTTAAGTGAATAACCAGTATAGCAAAGTGAGGTACAGACACATACTTACAAATACTTATCGCCGTCGCATCGGCAATATAACATTAAAGTATATATACGTACCGTTGAAAAAATAGTATTAATTGTCTGATCATACAAATTATTGTTTATTTATTGTCTATATATATAAAAAAAGAATTTAAATTCCCAACACTTCTAGAGTCTCATAATTTAATAAGCTTAATCAAAAGACAATCTGAAAAAGTATGAAACGGTTGGAAAATAGAAATTTTATTTCTAATACAAAAATTTGAGATCATTTTGAAATGAAGACGGCTTTTGTTTCAAGATTAATATGAGTTCAATGTGAGTTATTATATCACTTTTTAATATAAACTGAGGCATCCGTAATGTTGGCTGTCTCACATTTTTTACGTTTCCTAATTAAATTTTGAGACGAGAGAGAGATTTTAAAACACATTAGCTTTAATTAAATAATAGTTTTATTTAAAATACTTCTGTGAGATGATATATTTTAGAAGAAAATCCTTAAGTGTTCAAGATTCATTAAAACTTAATACTTATCGCATAGATTTGTTTCTAATTGATAATTATTAATTTAGTATTTATAACGTTAAATGTACGTAATATTGAGGTAAATTGAGGATAAGGTAAATTGAAGAAGTAAGTAATATCTTGGCTCATATTTAGATCGAAATTAAAACTCAAACATTTATCATTCTTTTATAAACATAAATATATGTGAAAGATACAAAAGATACAAAAGAGACAAAATAGTTAATTGAATGCCTTCACACTACTAGACAAATCTTCGCTTGACCATTTTTATCATTATAATATATTGTTTCTCGTCCCATAAAAACTTTTACCTTATAATTAACCTGATACTTCCCCACACATAGGATAGTCTAAATATAATATATAATATTTAATTATATTTCCTATAACACCATAAAACATGAACAAAGTAATAAATATAACCTTTTCCATAACATTATTAAGGATAGCTTACAATATTTAATATTTATGTTACCGTGTGATTGCCACGGATAACCAAAATATTGAATTCATAAAAAGAATATATAAAACTTGCGTTTTTTTTTGGTTCCAAAGATAACGATATCTGAAGGCACTAAAAACAAACTTTATCGAGAGAGAAACTGCGGTTAGGAGATAATATAAATAAAGATATCAAACAACACATGTCTTTAAAACTTCAAGCTTTGGTGACGGCTTTAGGTTTTATGTAACACAGAATCAGTGTAAATAATTAAATTATCAATTTATATCAACCAAAAAGAGCCGTCGATCGCACTGAGCACTGGGCTACGGAATTTTAAATGGCTTTTTAATTCATCTTACTATGTATGAATAGAGAATTATTGAATTAAACATATTTTATTTTTATATAAAAAGTCATTTAAATCCGTTGTCTCGTTGTTCCAGAAGCCGATTACACTCTGGACGATTCTTTCTGGAGCGAGGATATTTTCGGTGAGTAATAATCATCACAAAATATATTACCGGAATAGTTTTATTAAAATTATTATTAATGTAATACTCCATGCAGACTAAACGCGGTTTTATCTCAGCTCTCACTTTAACACTTTATAAATGACTATCCCCGGAGCACATGGGATTTCATAAAACAATTTCGACGTCGTTTGTGTCAGAGAAAGGAGTGTAATTATATTTAAAATAAAAAAATATATATGGAAACTTAATAAAATTATATTTTACACGTATTTTTCATGAAAAGAATGTTCATAATATTCTGTTTTTGCCCTTTATATTTCAGAGTGCCCGGTTTTACTAGATAAAATTTTATTTTATATACAAAAAATTGGTATTATGTACTAACTATGTAGAAGATTTATCAAGCTTGTTACAATGTGTGTAGATTTAATGATAGAGGACAAACTAGCGAACGTTTCGGTTAATATCATGTGATTATTGTTTATTATTATTGATGTTACAAGTTAGATATTTAATAATATTTATTATTTTTGTGTCACTCTACGTTTTAGGTCTTAGATTTTTTTTATGAGAAAGGGGCGATGGGAGGCTAGTCAGCCTACATGATGGGCAGTAGGCATCGTCTCCCATAGACATCTGCAAAATAGTTTTGCGGATGCGTTGCTATTATTTGGGGAAGACGGAGAGGAAAGGTTGGAAAAAAGGAAAAGGAAAATGGTAGGAAAAGGGAAAGGGTAACCGGCTCTCTCTTACTCATCGGACGAAACGCAGACATTAAAGGCTACTTCAAGCTGATCTTCTGTAAGAGGGTACTTCCCAAGTCGAGCCAGCCCATATTTGAGCTGTAGTAATTGACCACAGCTAGGCTTTACCACCTAATAAATGTTAGAAGGTATATCAATCTAAATATTAACGTAACAGATGAACATGATCACCACAACGTTGTTCTTAGGATCAATAAACTTGAATTTACCTCCACACATGTATAAAATAAAAATTTACTTCGATATCACTGATTGTAGAGCCACAGAAGTATTTGATTTTATCTTAAAACATAAAAGTGGAAGTAACGAATGTATACCTAAAAATTGAACATTTAAAAACCGGCATCCCGCTGCGACCGTACATCAGTTAAGAGCGAGCAATAACCATTTCCGCCCCCAAGTTTATTTTATACTTTTAGGGTAGTTTGAGATTTGAGGGAGTGTTTTCGCTCTGAAATTCTAGTTGCAAAAGTTTTAAAAATATATTCAGGTGTATCGGGGTAGTTTGATGGGTGCAAAATCGTACCACTAGGCTTGTATGTATAATAAATACAAATATTTGTACATATGAATCATTAAAACACCTGTTCAGTACAGTTTAATTAAAATTTTAAGCTGATCCGATGCTAACAAATACGATTGCCAGATAGCGATGCGGTCGCGTCTCATAATGTTTTCAATTAATCGACTGTGAGATCATAATACGCTTTAATATACACTTATCTCATTTCATTGCTATCGTTTAACTTGATACAATATTGTTATATCACTTTTATTCAATTGCCTTTAAAATATACAATGAATACAGTTACGGTTTTGTGTTGTTTAATTTGTTTAATTGAAATCTGTTTATTACGTAGAAAATTACGTTAAACCTATTTATATGAATTAATTTAAATGATATGAAATTAATGATTTTATTATAATGAAGTGCTTGTAGGTGAAAGCGCAACTAGCATCGAGAACACCTTTTTTACAATTAATGTGTGCTGATTTATATATTAATAAGTTAATACATCGATTATTAGATTGCCTTATGATGGTTAAAGATTAAAGTTCAAGGTAAACAGTATAAGTAGTGATAGTTTTGATACGCCTCCCACAAGTCAGGATGTACATCACCTCGACGCAGCGCGGATGCCATCTTGTTCCAATTTACATACGAATGCATCCAGCATGTAAATGTAAGCATCCGTGAGCCGGCCGCGCCAGCCTGCAGCCTGCATCCTGCATCCCTAATCGATTTAGAGTTGATGCTACCAGATTGTATTGATGCTTGTTTATTTTTTAATTCGATTAACATTTGATAAATATTACTGGACTATTTAACATAATTTTCAATATAAATTGTCCTGTTTTTAGTACAACCTATTTATACAGCGTCTATATTTTTTACACAAATCTTAATTTTAACTAGAGCACACGTTGAAACTATAGGAACGAGTTGATTTTGTTTTTTTTTAAGGCGATTTTCCAATATTTCCTATACATTCTCTCAAACAAGCAAAGTCAGCGGTGTAAGAGTCACATATTAATTCATACGAAGCCGTGTTTAACTAAATGGTGAAATAAAGACGTTCTGTAACAGCTCCTGCTGCCGTACTATTAGCAAGATGTCTCCATGGGTCGCTGGCTCTACACGCTCCCTGTGTTTGGCTTTATAACTCTTGTTATATTATATGGCTTACTCTTTCCATGCTCCGTCTTTTGTCTTTCCACTGGCTGACTCGTCTTGATATATAAAATTTTGTTAATACGATCCTTTCTATTCCTAGAACACAGTTTCAAATCAAACAAATAACTTTAAACTAACTGCTACAACATTAGCAATTTATTAGAACATTTATTCTCAATTTTCTCTAACGACCTGCGATATTTTAACATAAAAACAAGCGAGTGTTAAGCGAAATTGTTCTGAAAAGGATTTATTCATTCAATTCTTCTTCAAAAGCTGGCATACAGCTGCAGCTTGCAGTGGTTGAGGTGTAAACAGAAATGCTTATGCAATACACTTACATATATGAAGGCTAGTTTCAAAATGCTTTTTTTTTAAATATCATGTAATTGTATAAATCATATGCAGATTTTTTCTTTAACCAGTACATATTTCAATAAATATTCATTTATCAATACATTATGCTACATAAAAGTATACAACACACATCACTGAAATGGTAAAGTTCATAACATAGTTACAGAACGGTGTAACTTCGGCCAAGTTGTGTCACGGTATGCTGGCGCCCGTGCCTATATGTAATACACATATACATACATATATATTCAAATATACATATATGCTTTTGTCATAATTGGCCATCAAGACGTAACGCTTCCTTAGTTCGTCGAGTTTCTCAAACATTATTTGATATTTTACCAAAAAATATTTTCCAAATTAATCCAATTATATTGGAATTTTTTGTGAAAGTATAAAACAAGTAATAAACAATAATTAACAACGATAATAATCAGATTTCTTTGAACTCTGTGTTCTGTCTCGGTAACGAATTGCTCTACATTACATCGTATATTTTCTCCCGCTGTTTCTGGTTTTTCTTATATTTGTTTTGTTTGCAAATATTATTTATGAGTTTGTAGTGATGCTATTATTTCGCTGGGTGTTGTATGTCTGTTAGTCACATTCGATGTGGTTGACCACAGTGATAGACCACGCTTGTTGACACCCGACCATCTTAGTTACTGATGCCACCCAATTTCAATGCTATCATTATTTGATCTATCATTATAAATTTCGAGGAAAATAGTAACAAGATCATTGACAGAGATTACATTCAATATAAACTACATAATGTATACGTTTCAACCTAAAAAGTATCTTTACATCCTAAAACAACACTCGTATTTGGTATAAAACCAACCAAAAATATTTACATTTTTTCAACTACCAGCAATAATTTAAGACGTAAATATGTTCTGTATCATTATGAAATATATTTCTATTTAAAATTTCCTTTCCTCATACATTTATAACATTTCACTTGTTACAAAGATTCATGCATTTATATTCACGTCAGAACGCACATTACAAAGCGGGACAGAGTATCAGTCTTTCTGTTCCATCAGACATTACTATGACGATGGCTGGATCACTACAGTGACATATTAAACTTTAAGTCGATGCCATAAAGTTAAAAATCAATTTGTTCCTACAATTCCGTAGCTGATACGCTACGACTATAGTAATACGAATTCCAAAACAAGAATATTCTTGAATGAAATTTGAGCAAGTAATTTAATTTTCTTTTTTCTGTTGCAGGTTTAAAGGACGAGAAATCTGATGGTAAGTGAAAAAACCCTCAGCTTTAAGAACTCATAAAATAAATCTAAAATGGCTTCCATACAACGTCATGGAAATGGGAAATAAATTATATTATACTTATGGCTGAAGGGATGTACTTAATCATAATTAATTAGTGGGTCGTACCTTTAATTAAATTTTAATTATCTTTTACAACGTTAAATAATATTTCCTTCAGCAATATACCCATTAGCTGTTGGTATGCTTATTAACTATTTCTCTATGGCGTATAAGGCTGTGGAGGAGTCCGAAAATTGGCATTGTATCGATACAACCTTATTCAATCAATACTTTATGGCGTTCCAAGTTTTTTAATTAACTAACCCTAATTATGAACTTTTATAATAAATTTTGAGAACGGTATCCATCCTTTTATGGGCTAATTGAGACTTTGAGTTACTCTCAAATTAATTCCTTAAGTTAAGAGTTTTAAAGTCGTTTATATTGTGAGCGTCTCATCTCTGTCCGGCTTTGTATTTGTTTATTATTTGTTGCTATAATATTTAACAAGGCGCCCTAAATTTATATCATCTTTAACGAACACTAAGGGAGATAGAATTTTTTTATTTTATAGGCACAGTTGATATATTGCAAACATATTACTATTCACTAATATCTAAACTTATTGAAATATATCGTTCATTGAAGCTAATAGCTTTTTATTAAAGAACTCAGGAGATATCGGTTCGAATCCTACTCGTTTCCATGAATTTTTCATTCTATATTTTCTATTTAATTGTAATTCAACATAATTTTCTATAACAGTTGAGAAGAAATCAAGTTTCATATGAGTATCATTAAATAAGGAGGCGTGTAGACTAAAGTAACAGTGATTGAACAAATTGTGAAACGTTTACAAACTATGCCGGCTCGTGTAAATCTCCCTTAACTTTTTGAATTATTTTCGTCTAACAAAGAAAACAATGTTCGTTGTACGTTACTTCGTCAGATTTGCCAGTTGTTTGTTTTGAATCTTATATGTACAGACATAAGTAGGAAAATGCAAGTTCAAGAAAGTATTACGTCAACCTTAGCATTTGAAGTTGGGTTTGAAATTTAATAAAACAAGTTTCTAACGTTTGTAAACATAAAAATGATAGCAACGTTTTTGATAGGTTAAATAATAATAAAACCTAGTTTATTATGTTGCTGAAGCGACGTTGTGCGTTGAACTAGATCTTCCCAATAACAATATCGTCTCGCAATGGTATAATGTGCCACTAAATGCAGCCCATGCATAATGCAGGCGTCATCTGTGCCCCGCTGCGGGCGTGAGACGCTGCCGTCTCAATGCGGCTCCGAGAGCGTTTTGACCCGATTTCATAATGGTAGAATTAAAACTTTATCCCAACCGCAGCATCAATCATCACAGAGACGATCGGTCAATGTCTCAGAACTTGTTTTTCCGGATCTCTCTACATTTGTATGTGAGAATCTTTTGTTCGGTCCTGCAGAGATGTTCGTGGAGGGCCTTATTTACGTTTCCTTGTAAAACGAGTGTCGACTAATGAGAGACTTCGCGCAAGTAAATCATTAAAATGCATTGAGCTGGATGACGCGAGACACGGTTCGCGTTTTAGTCATAGGAATACTCTAATGGTTTATCTTTGAGGGCCATTGTCATTGCTGTGAATCCAGTTTCGTGTGTATTTGAGGAAATTATTACCATATTATAATTTAACATTCTCCTTATCATAAAATCAAGTTTATTTCGAATATAAGTCTCCAAACACATGAGATTCTTTCTTACTTGTATTGCTAAGTGTGTTGTTTGCCTAATAGTTTTATAGGTGCTATATCACGCTACGTCATTATGGTACAATCACAAATATTTAAAGTGTCAACTCCGCTAGAGCCTGTTAAGCTTTTGTGTTGTGTTAAAAATATTTTAACCGACGCCATTCATCAAGTCAATTTATAAATTAAGGGGTTTTCATGCTTTTTAAGGTTGTGCGTAATTAATATGCAATAAACTGGAGGGCGTTCGAAACTGTTCTTTATGGCACAAGACCTAAAGTATGTTTTGAATTGAAATTTTTTATATAAAATTATAGCTGCGTTTATTGCTAATTTGAGCTTTGCTGCATTTTTATAGAAGCACTCACGGTTCCTACAGACCGCAGCCCGCATTGTGTTATTCAAAGCACAGAGCATTTCATTTGAGAACGCAACAATTTCGTACGTCCGCGTCATACACGACTCGTTTGTATTTAGTTATAAACATACGTCGGGTCTCCCGCTGCTGGAACGAATACAAAAGTTAATATATTTAATCCGTGCCACGCTGCATTACCATCGGAATGACATACAATTAGTCACGTAGGAGCTCCGCATTACAAAAGATTTACTTTGCACGAATATGCTTTCAAACTTTAATGGTATTGGATGACGGCTTAATTGAATCATCCGAGGCAGGCTGCTTTGTGCCCTCGTCACATGAAACAGATCTGTGCGGTGAGCGATAGTCTTGCACTCAATCTCAAGCGGCGGGATTTTGCATTTCATCCTTCTAGCTTTCATATTATTCTGATAATTCGAATATCAATTCTCAATAGTATTTTAATTTCGAAATCGACTTTTCTCATGTTTTTTATGATTCTTTTACTTCTGAGTATTGAAATACGCTGATAAATTACATGCTTAATTCTCTGTTGTGATGCATATTCTCTAGTGGATAGTGATTTTAATCGAATTACTAATAAACAAGTGATGAGGGAAACCGCAACCGCAGCGTCTGTATGGAAGTGTGAAACGCCTTTAATATTAATAATGCGTCCGCTTAGTTTCCAATACACTGACGAAGAATTTATTTACTTACAAATAAATTACGTAAAATATTTTAATATCAATATTTTCTACTATATATAAAATTGTAATACAGTACAAAATATAACTCGACAAATGAATTGTTGAGTTCCGAGAATCTGTTTTCATCCGATTGTTGCTTTCACTTAAATGCTTCGTGAAATTTGTGAAATTAAATTCTTAATTAATATGAATCGTCAGAATAAAATTACGTGCAATTAATTAGGCAATTTTAGTTTTATTAAATAAAACTTTATTATAGCATTTCATAATAGACCCAAATATTTCTTTATTTTACAAGACAACGACAAGCGGCCGCCCTCTTGACGGTAGTGTCGAATGTATTTGTTCTCAAGTCGACATATATGAAAATTCTAATATCCAATAAGGAAGGTACATCGACGGCAGAGGATAATGCCAACGCATACAGGAACTTAGTCCGTAAGCAAAACCATGTCGTCTTAAGATCTGAGGAGATTAATTTTAAAATAGTTGCCTGATACTTAACTGCATTAGTGAAATCCTTTTGTGTTGTAAGTTGATGATTGTAAGTTTACAAACTTCCAGAGCCTTTTTAATTACCTTAAACTTAGTTAATGACGTTAAGGATTATTTCGTTAGGAGTTTTTTAATATTTTATTATTAAGAAACTATTAATATTGAAAAATAGTGGTGTTTTTTATTATCAGCCACACGTATTTTTGTATGTTGTGATAGTTCAGCGTAATAAAAAATGTTAATTTTCGTTTATTAAACCGTATTTTTATTCTTAATTACATTAAATTACTCGGTATAGTTCATTTTTCATCTCAAAAAAGTTACCTTTCAATGTATCCGTTTCGTGAAAAAAATAAAAATAGGTCACGAAGTTATTCGCTAAAAAGGTGAAACAGTTCAGCGAATATTTATTTAACTCGTTTAATATATATTTTTTATATCACAGAAAATATATCAGTCAAGTTTAAAACACAACATTATTTATAAGACCAATAAAATGTATTTGTGCGTCGATAAGTTTGTTCAAGTTAATATACGTTCATTAAGTAAATATGTTTAAAGAATTATAAAGGGTGATAACCGGAGGTTCCAGGAAAACTATGAAAGTTACTTATATGTATATTATAATAAGAATTACATATTAAAACTAATACCTAAGACTACATGATTACCCCGATGTTAGGATAGTAATGACATTGCATAGCTTGTGTGGTATAAGGAATCTTCTATTTTATACGGCATGGTGTTCGTTCCGCGGAGTCAGCGGCGTCACTCGTCATATGATATGATATTTTACCCATACAAAAATGTTACCCCGGCGATGTTCATTATTTCTTTATATGTATCGCGTACGTTACAATCTTACAAATAAATGATTAACCCTTTCATATGACCGGTCATAAACAGAACATTCCGAAGCAATCCTGTGTAATAGCATTTGTAATAAAACATTTGTAGAAATATTTGATCAAAGAAGTTCCACGGCACTAGTTTGTAATCTGACAAACCGACTCAACTATCTGTAAGCCGCGCAGCGACCGCAAGCCTGTATTCAAAGTTTTTGGAATTCGTTTACCAAGCAACGTGTTATAAACATATCTCCGACATATAACTCGACCATCCGCTCAATGAAACTTGAATATCATTATAAATGAAAGTCTAATATCTATATTTCCATATTAGCCACCCCAAAGCCTCCAAATCTCCCATCTTTATTGATATCCGCCGTTTTATTAGAATGCGATCTCTTATATCAATATTTATGAGTTGAAAGCATCCTTAAAATATGATGACATTCAAAACCTCTACAGAGGTTGTGGAGAGTGTGGAGCCATCGTATGAATGTAAGCTTTCTCATATTAAAGACTTTTGTGCATATTGAACGATGCTGAAACGAAAATGTTTTATATTTTAAGATAAATATATCGAGACGATGTTCCGAATGTCCTATTGAGGAAGGGAAGCGTATTGTTCTAATGGAATTGTCATCAAATATACAATTGTTTTTGACTCAAAGACACGATGGTTTAAACTATATAAGGCATTAAATTTAATAGTATATGAGAACAGTTGTTTTGTTAATATTAAGTTATTAAATAAAAGCGAAAAGAATATAGAGTGCTGTATGAAATGGAAAAATTGTATTTTATTAGATCACATCGTGTAAGCAAAAAATATTGAGAATATCAGCATAATTCGATGAAAGTTGATGAGGCCTTCTTTCAATATCCCATATTCCTATATTAATTTGGGGCGCTGCTGCTAATTAATTATATCTGATTGATGGATTCAAGGTCCTTTTATCGCTAGATGTCAATACATGACTCAGATATATAAGATCAGATGTCTTCCATAAAATCTATGTAATAATTTTTTAGACTCTGTTTTCTTAGCTCGCTACTAGATTGTATTATTTGAAATACATTCATACATTTCGATTCAGACCTGAACTTAACGTATGCGGAGTTTTGTTCATCGCATACACCGCGCACACCTCATGATTAAAACTCCACGAGGCGAGAATTACATAGAATTACAGTAAAAAGTCTCGGACCTAACGAGAGTTGGCAGCAAAATGCAATTTAATCCCGAGCATGTGATTCGAATGCAACTTGCATTTCAAGTATGTTGATTTTATGTTGCAAATTATAAAACCGGCTTACCCTTAATATTTTAAATACGAATCTACATACGTAACACCCACTTTACTGGCGTTTGAATAAACAAGTTATTATGTGAACAAACGTACAAAAAACAATACAATTCATAATATTAAAATAGACAATATAAACAAAAATAGTTCTGATCTTTCTCAACCAATCAATAACTGCTGACAATATCACAATTTCCATGTAAATGATAATCCAACAGTGTATAGAAGTGCTTATGACCCGAGTGGGTAACAATCCACCTGCCTATTGTTCAATTTGAAAACCTCGTAAAGACTTTACGTTCAAAGACGCTTATAACAAGGACTTGGTGCAATTGCAATTTTGTTCTCAAACTTGTTATATATTAATGATAAGTTTGTTAGGAAGTTCAATTTGTTATTGAAATACTTCTACTTGAATATTAGAAATGTTAGTTCATTTATTACAATATATATTAAAGTACGACTAATCAAACAGGATCTAAAAAGGAAAATTAATGTTTGGTCTCATTTTGCTATATATAGTGTCAAATAAATAGAAAGTTATAATTATTTTTCATTGTTTTAACAGAAGTTGAGCGACTGTTACGAGAGTTCTACCAAAACCAGGAGTTGGTCCGCAACATCGGCTCACACTACTACCAGATCATCTACCCTGTACAGCTGCGACATCACGAGAAGATGGGCATCTCCACCAGAGAAGTCAGCACTAGCATCAAGGTGGGGAAACTGAAACGAACACACACACACACACACACACACACACATATGTATATATACATATATATACTCTTGAATATAGTCTCACGATCTCACTTATTTCGAGCTCTCATTAGACAAGCTCATGACATGAACAATGAGATACATAAAACAATATCAAACAAACTATACACGAAATATGACAAGCTTTACAATACTTTTATGTGTAATCTAACAGCAAAAGAACCGATATCTGCATTATATTCCATTTGAAATGAAACACATCTATCTACGAGAGTAACAAATATTAAAAATATACAAAATATTAAAACTATTTTTCACGTTTTGTTTCATCTGAGGTCGCTGTTCTAATTAAAGCCGTGAATAATCCGAATAAAACACCTCGTCTGCTATTTTTTTCGAAGGGAGCTCCTGCGATACGCATGATTAATGCCGCCCCAGTTCCACCGAGTTTTTCTATTAGCCGGGAACTTCTAAAGCACTTTTTGTTTAGTATTACTCAACGTCTGAATCGAGGGACAACCGAGGTGTTGGCGGTTATATATTTACGATTTAATAAAGTGTCGCCAAATATTGTGTTAGGAATTCAGGCGTGGTGTTAAATGAAAATGTATTGTGTACAAATATAGCTTTACACACAACTGTACATAGTTCTTTATTAATATTGAATAAAGTTCCTCTCACTTCATAACAATTCAATATAATTATTGCTATACAAACGAAACACAGCCTCGGAATATGTTTAGTTCAACACAAAGAGTAATCAAGGTTCGTTCAAAGTTTTGATTACTTCCAAATTCTTGTAACATTAAATAATCTTTTGATCAATAATAAACAGATAATTATTCTGCTCGACATTAGACATTCATATTTTGTAATATAATCGAAGTTTCGACTCAATAAACATCAAACAGTATCCTAATTTCCGCCGGCAGCTTGTTGAATTAATAAAACACTCCCTCTAAGGATTTTTGTTATAATTTAATCATTTATTTTTGGTGATCGTATCTTCTTTTATTTTTCATAAAGTATCCATTATTTGTAATAAAATATTATTCTTTATATCTGTGAAAAGAATTAAATTGATTGAAACATGATATATGTACATATATTATTCGATGTATAACTGATCATAATATAGTGATCTAATCGTTTAAAACTAATCCTAATTATATATAATAAATTTAAAATGAAGGATTCAAATATACATAAGGGAAAGTAATTTATAATTACGTCGCTACTCTCAAAAGACGCAGGCGTTGAAGCGATCATTCAGTCTCAACAAGTTTAGGACCAAGTTAAATTGGTTTTCAGAATATTTTATATATTTAACGACACCCAAGTATATGTTAACGCTGTGACTCCAAAACAGATGTTTAACTAGTTTGATTTTAAATAATAATATTTAATATTAATATTAGGTATATAACAAGACATACAATAAAATAAACTCTAAATGAAACTAAACAAGAGTTATCGTGGTTCCTTTATTAGATATAAATCAACCAATATATCATGAACCTCAATCAATTCATAAATTATAACTCACATATTCTTTATATACCAAATGCTTGGCCTCCATTCGCTTGAAGACAAATCAAATTAAAACAGAGTTAAAATTATTAACAAGGAAAAGCATTATTAAAAATTCTATTAAATACATTGAAATGGGAGAAGACATGACTTAAATTTTGTGGTCAAATCTAAAATATATTAATAAAAATAATTCAAATACTATTGGTATATTCGACTATTAATAAATATTTTTCTAATTAAAACTTGTCTATACAGAGGCTTGTTGAGTCCAACCAACCGATTGATAATTACCTTAATTTGATACAGCCGTCCTTCAAGTGATTATAATTAACTCATTTAGGTATTGAGTTTAATTATGTTACAATGATTACACTTGAATTAAATTTAAATACATTTATATTTGAATTTATACACAAGAGACGAGGTACAGGATTTACTATAAAGCTCTCTGACCATGGAAACTAACTTCAAATTATCAAAGACGAAGCTATATTGAGGAAAATATATTGAAATTGGATGGCCTTAGTCGAGAATAGCCTTAATGGAAGAATGCTGCTTTTTAATTTAATACTGCTTAAGAAATTAGGTAACAAGTAAGCTTTTTAAATATAAATACGGACTTTTGTAATGGAACTGCTTTGTATTTTTGTTCATTAATGTTGAAATACGTGTGAGTTTATTAGAAGTATTTATATACATTCATAGTATATGTATATAGCTGATGGATAAAATAAGATAAATTGAGGTATCAAAGTTAAGTAAATAGTATTTTTTACTTTGAGTAATAGTAATATTGAATTTGTGGGTTTTACTAATTGTAATACTAATTTATCGATGGTATTAAAAATTACATAAAATAGGTCTGCCGATAAAGATTATTTATTATTATTGAGTTACTTACATCCAATACTATTGGAAACGGTTGAAAATAGAAATGTTATTACATTCCCTACAAAGCCACTTAAAGCCATAAAAAAAAAAAGGATATTTGCTCGGAATAAATTTTCTATATCCACATCAAATATAAGAAGCCCTCAGTTCTTGGCTTCCAGATCAAAGAAAGATTTTCATATTATATCCTATTTGATGCCTTTGTCTCGTTTCAAACCCCGCGAGCAATTTGTCAGGGCTGTTCAAAGTCGTTTTATTACGAAACCTGGACTGAGGGACACCTAAGATGAATGTAATATTACTTTACTGAAACTTTAACGCACCCAGAAAGTCGTTATTACAAATTTATTATCGAACAAACAGGAGGCCCTCTGTGATAAACATGAATTGTGGGGTTAAAATAATTTTACATATTAATCAAATCTTAATATCTCAATAACAATAATAAGCGTAAGTTGGAGTTGAACTGATATATCAGGTATTTTATAAAAGTGCTAGTAAAGCAAAATTCGTTTGTAAATCTCTGAATGCTCATACAGTTTTTCTACGACATTGTCGCCACTATAAAGCCGTCTGCACGCTGTCTGTAACATTAACGAATATTTGTGGCGAACGGAAATCAAACCTGGGACGAGTCCAAGCTGCATTGGATGTGTCACGACACATTGAATCCATATTGAAGTTACATTCAAAGATGGTGTTGAAATTTACATAATAATATAACTAGAAGTAAAATATACGTTGATCTTCTACCTGGCCATTTCCCAGCTTTAGCCAGGGTCTGCCTTACATGTTGTGAATAGTTTTGGCTTATTGTTTTTACGACCGGCCGCCTGCCTGACATCAACCCTCTTTTTGGGAAACACCATTAATCAGTGAGGTCTAAATACTTTTAGAAAGTACATATTACTCGGAAAAATCACATTGGTACTTGCCCGGGCCAAGATCGAACCCGCGCCTTCATGCATGAGAGGCGGGCCTTTTTAACCACTGGGCCACCACTGACTTAAGTAAAATATATGTCCATGTATAACCATTCTTAAATTAATATTTCCTCCTTATTAAAATTATTTTGTTCAATTCACATTATAATCAGTACAATCCTAATATACAAAGTCCTAACGAGCTTTGGAAGTTTAAAACTTGTTACGCTATTTTAGAGCTCGATTGTTCAAATCGTTGTTATAGTATTGAGTCCAGACTTCGCTTGCATTTTATTTATCCATTCAAATAGCTTTATAGTCATTGTTATCTATTTAGAGCTTTGATGATATTTTGTAAGGCTTCTATGACAATACATTTTATCATTCGTATAATATTCGTTAAAATTTAATGAATTCGTATACCTGTGTAATTATTATGCATCAGTTTTTTTCAATATTTACTGTTTTCAACATTTTTATTTAATGTAATGAACATTATCGTTTTATTTTCAATTATTTTTTCGGTCTTACTGCGGTCCATTATTAGAAACAATAAACAGCGTATATTTTTTATTCGTCAAAAATAGTTTACGTTTTCTTCATTTCTGACGAGACTAATGACATAGTTCACTTTATTTTGTCATTTTTAATTCATATTAAAACATGCCAACAGTAATGTCATGTAAGTGTGTCTTTGCGATCGATAAGTGACAATACATCGAACGCGCTCCCCAATATTATGTTGATTTGAAATTCAATGCTTAAATTCTTACATCTAAGTACATATATTGTGATTCAAAACCCTCGGGCGAAATAATGCGAGCTCCGATACGATCTCAGAGGATTTACATTTATCTTTTTCAACGCGAAATATGTTTGCTAATTCTATACAAATAGTGACAAAACGTGCTGTTTACGTATTTCCTTTTACTTGAGTTTTATCTCGTGTAAATTCGGTTCGGTGGATTCAGTTATCAAGCTATCAATATAATGGAATCTTCATTTTCTTTCTAACTTAACAGAGTCTACTTCATTTCAAAGAGAGTACTCTCTTTATAGAAACTAGGTTTCTTATAGTTCATTTTAACAGAATGTAAGTCATTCCGGTGACCTGAAACGATGGAACTTTATAATAATTGTTTTTATATATATTTATTTACAGCATAAAAATGAAAAATTTACATAAATCAAAATTAATTTTATTTAATGTTTTTTTAACATTAAAAGCTATTTCACGACAAAAATAAATATTCTGGGGAAGTTATCAAAAACATCCGAACATCTGTATTTAAGAAAATCTGGTAGAAATTTACACACATGGAATTTCATGATTCTGAAAATATTACATGGTGTCTTATTCTTCTATACGAATGGTTTTCCACTTATTAAAGCGATATATCAATTGTATGTGTACCTGAATGAGTTTATTGCATGATGATAGTCAAGGGAGGCTGGTACAGATGAAATGTATTTTGTGAGATGAAATTGAAAATGGAGAGTCGGAAATGCATCTGGGGATTAATGTGAGAAATCGTAGAGCCTAGTTGTTGTCAGTGGAGTTTATCTCAAAAGGGGATGACTGGGATAGAGTAAGAACCTCTCACGGAAGATCGACATATGTTGGTAACTTGAAATAATAGCTGCGTTTTA